AGAGAGAGAGAGAGAGAGAGAGAGAGAGAGAGAGAGAGAGAGAGAGAGATTGTCATTATAGTTCATTTACGTATGGCGCGTGATCATTTACGAATCTTCATTAATTAATAACTTTTACGTGGTTTATCGCAAAATGGTAGAAGAATTTTTTGTCTAGTTTGACCTAATCTACATGTACACCGAAGTTTATCTGTGAGTTATCGAATACCCTGTATTTGTTTATGTTGATATTTTTACATAGAGAAGAAACTTTTTCCTCAGTGTTGATTTGTATATTTCACTACCGAATAAATATTTCTTTACTTTTTAGATATCATTTCTCTCAATAATTATAAGAGAGAACGCGAGAGATGCGCGGGAAAATCGCTCGTCGCGAATACCCACGTTACCCATTATCGATGGCAATTATCGGTTCATGTGATATGAATTATGTGCGGGCGTAATTAATTCCTCTTAATGAAATTTTATATACTCACTGATGCGCTTTCTCGCCTCGACGTAGGCATGATTTACGGCGTCGTACGTGATGCAGGTCTGGGTGGCTCCTCCTGCGGCGGGGCTGCGGAAGAACAAAGATGAAAGTTTTAACTCGCATGAGTCGATCCGCGGCGGCAAGAAATATTATTTATGTCTCCGTCGTCCTCCCTTTTCCTCTTCTCGCTCCTCGTCACCCTCGTCACGCGAGCGGATTAATTACCTAACGTGTTCCTACAGCCTACTTTCGTGAGAAGGGAACCCGCGACGTGAATTCGTCGCGCGTTCCGCGCGCGGGGTCGGCCGCAGGTGTTCATGTGCATGCGCGATATTTCGCATCAAGGTAACCCGAAACTATCCTAGACGTGCTCTCCTATGAACGCCCGCGAATCGACTTTCATATCCTGTTTCCGCCGCGGATTATAACGGCATTGACGTACCACCCGCGGCTCTCTCGCTCGCTGACGAAGGTTGACCCCAGAGCGATCTCTCTCAGCATGTGCGCGTGTGTATTTCTCCACGTGCCATATTTTACGCATGCCTATCTGCCGCGGCTTCCGCCTTTTACCCTTCCTCCTGTCTTTATCATCTTAACGGGTAGAATTTAACGTAGCGGGGTCGCGAACTCGATTACGACTCCGTCGAAGTTCGCGCGGACGCACAATGGAACTGTTCTACAAATCTCATTCGCGCGATGCGAGACTCCGTAAATTTACCGGTTGTGATGAGAGTCGCACGCGAGAACAGATAGATGAGAGACGAGGAAAGATTAGAGAGAAACGCGGCTCTAATTCGCAATGAAGCGTTACGCGCTGCAATCGTTACGTCGTGACCGATGTGATAATAACGAGAGCATTTTATAACGGTGTCGCACGTCGACGCACTTACCATAACTGGTCTGAGAGACGGCTGTACTCCATTCTCGCGGATTGCGCCAGCCGCAGAACTTTTCTTTCGATACACATAAATCGCACTCACTTCGACCTGCTCGCGGCATTTTGTTCTTTTTCTTTTTCCTTCTTCAACAACGGCGTTAAATAATCATGACTGACGCGTGACGCCCGCGTGACGCCGAAGTGTAGCACCGACGGCGGATTCGAGAATAATCTGTTGCTGGCTCCGTGTGTGTGTATATATAAGGTGTAGTAAAAAGAAATCCATTATTTTTGCATGAAATTGAAGGCTTTATTTAGCATAGTTAGAATGATCCGATTTAGGTCAAATATGCACCGTTTTGTTCGATAACTTGTTGCCATTTTGAAGGTAATTCCATTATGCCTCTCTCATAGAAACCCTTGTCCCTATTGGCAAAAAACTGGGACAGTCGATTTTCACAAGCTTCTCTTGAGGCGAATTTTTCACCAGCAAAATCATTCGCCATAGACAGGAACAGGTGGTAATCACTTGGTGCCAAGTCCGGACTATAAGGTGGATGCATAAGAGGGATTGCTCCCAATCAAGCTCCCGGAGCTTCTGGCGAGTCACTATCGATGTGTGTGGCCT